AAAGAAAAAGAAAAAGGTCCTCCTAACATGAATGCACTTCTAAGTCACACAGTTTGGTGACTAAAGTTCAGAATGAATTTCAATTTCTACTCTAGTCCCTCAATCTGCATTACACAACTAAAAGTGATTGCACTAAAACTTACCACGCTGAACCTCTCTAAGGTATAGATCTGCACTCAATATTGCATGTTATTTTTTTATAACATACGATGTCGAACAAACTGATTATAATTAATCTTTATTATAACTAACCTTTGTGCTTATATCCTGTATTTCTTCTCTGCAACACTTAGCTATTATTTTACCTATGTTCATTCATTAATGAAACATCCGTAATTTTAAGCAATCAAATCTACAAAGACTAAGTTTACTGTCTAGTCATCTACATGCTCTTATAAGTGTCAATGAGACGTTCTAACTAACTGCCTTCAATTGATTATGAGTGTGTGTTGATTTTTCACTGATTCACTGACCTACAAGATTCAGAGGCATTCATCATGACTTATCTATAACCACATACATAAAACTCATCTTCTCTGGAAGATTTCTAATTCACAAGTCATTCTTTTCACCACATAAATGGCATTCTTTCCTAACATTTTGCATTCCATTGTACATGCTATTTTATTTAGGTCTGTTCATTTCTATCAATATATGGACAGTTTCCATTCATGATAACTAGTTTCATGACTCAAACATTAAGGCTACTTGTAATGGGTCAATTAGTTATACAGACTATCATCTGTTCTTTGAGTATAACTATGGACAGTATTTCTTCACATTGCAGATTAGAACTATAGGCTTTATCAAAAATCCGTCCTTCTTTTGAGGGAACGGACCATGTAGCTAAGTTGAGATGACAGAAGAAAACTGCAATAGCCATGCATGAAATTATCATAAAAATCAGTGAGAGTTTACAATGACTAAGTACACTATTGCTCTTTATTATTTTTAATAAAGAAAAAAACCTGCAGTCAGATATTCTACTACTGAGCTATACCCCCAAAAAGGAAAAATAATTTACAGTTAGCTTAGACACATAGCAAGTAAATGGCCACCATTTGCAAATCAGCACTGAAGTATGTATGCTGTTTATGCTGAGAAATAGCAAGAGAGAATTCATGATTAAAACCGGTTTTGATTGTCCCTTCCTGGTGGCGCAGTGGGTTAAAGCACAGCACTAAGAAGCAAAAGCCACTTGAGCATGAATTTGATCCCCAGCCCGGAGGTTGAGTTCGATGCCCGCCTGCCACGGAGGTGACCACATGGCGTGGCAGACCTCTTCTGGCCCGCCCGCTGCTTCCCTCAGCAGTGTATTTCATCAGTTGACCTGTCCTGCTCCCTTCTGTCTCTGGTGAATCCTTTCACCGCTTCTGTATCTCTGGCCTGTACCCCAGTTCTGTATGCCATTAATAAATCTTAAAAAAAAAAAAAAAAAATTTTGATCTATGAAACAACTGTGTCTCTCTAGACAGAAAACCAATGTTTAAAAAAAGAATAAATTATTGAGGAGATTGGGTTATGTTCTTTTCCCTTAATCCACTCACATTCATTAAAATTGTGCTTATTATAGTAACACGGCTGTGGACCAAAACAAAGAAATAAAGCATAAGTATAAAGGTGGTTTTTAGTTTCAGGGATAATTAAGTCTTCATTGCTGGCACGATAACTACTATCTGTAGCACAATGTTCAAAACAAATTAAAAATGTGAAAAGTATATATGATATGTGAAGAGCTATCCAAATGATCTAGGATATAGTAAACACATTATAGTAAGAGTATCATCTTAAACTTAGCAAGTTTATTTGTTCTCTGGGATACTATATTTCACCAATAAATAAACTATAAATTTAAATAAATTTACCCAAATATTCCATTAGTGTATTTGCTTAAAATTGTGAGGTTGGACCATCTATACTTAAACCACCTGTACTTTATATATATATATAAAGCACAGCTTCATGCTCATCTAAGAACTCATAATCTTTGAAGATAGTTCTGCATTTACCTTTTATTAAATGCATATGTACATACAGCACTTGTGACTATGGTGCTACTTTTTCTATTTTGCCTTAGTCATATTCAAGGTATCTCATTATTTATTAATGTATTTAAGGTATCTCATTATTTATTAATCAAATATGTTAGCCATTACCTAAGCATCATATAATTAATCAAAACTGTATACAAAGAGAAGCAGGAAAAACAGTATTGTGGTCAGTAACATAGTCTCTGATCCTGGCTTGCTATTAGTAGCTGTGTGATAAAGGCAAGTTATTTCTATACTTCAGTTTGTTAACTTGTAAAACAGAAATTATAGGGAATCTGTGAGGGTTTCAGTTGATAAATAAATCATGTAAGAGTAAAGACCTCAATATACATTACTAAATTATTATCTATTTCTAATATTTGCCTAAGAATTATCACAATCAATTTAACTATTAAGGTATTATCAATTCTAACTATTAAGGTATTATCAAATAATTAAGTAATAACATACCAAATTCAACAAAATTACTTACTGGATCCATTAAAAACACTCGAGAAGCTGCAGAAAGATTCAAACCAACTCCACCTGCTTTCAAGGAAAGGAGCATTATAGTTGGAGATCCTACTTCAGTGTTTTGAAAACACTGAATTGATTCAACTCTTTTCTTTTGGGCCATAGAACCATCCAAACGAGTAAACACAAATCCAGAGGCTCTAATGCAAAGGGAAAAAAATGCCAAGTAAAGGATTTACCGTACTATAAAAATGTTAAATAATTACAAATCTCTTTACTCATCAAATTCTAATGAACTCATTTATGCTGACAAATCATCAAATTCTAATGAACTCATTTATGCTGACAAATATTTACTATCTACTACTATGCCAGGCTCTACAGAAAACTTTCCCCGTTCTGGATAAATTCAGGACCTGCTGAACTTGGGTTCATTTTTAAAATTCTATTCTGCCAGGATATACCCCCTGTTGTGATAGGATATTATTTTAGACAGATGAAATTAGTAACTGGTTAATTACGCTATTACAATCAAGAAAGTCCTTTTTTACTCAGTGAGAAACAATGTTGAACTTACCTGAGAGGTGTCTCTATTAAAGACAGAAATGTTGTGAACTGAGAAACAACTAAACTTTTTATGTTGGGGTTCTTCTTCCTTAGGTCAATTAATGCATGCATTAAAGCATTAATCTAAAAGGAAAAAAAGATCTCTATTAAAGATTCCATACTAAATAGGCAATATATACCCACAAAATTCTAGTTATAAAGAGAAAGGCTCTGTCATAGATTTCCTTAAAACACAAAACTGAAACACTACGGATTTCTTTTAAAACTAAGATTGGGGCCCTCCCTGGTGGCGCAGCGGGTTTAAAGCACTACACTAAGAAGCTTAAGCCACTTCCGCATGCGTTCCATCCCTGCCTGCCCCGGAGGTGACCACATGGTGTGGCAGACCTCTCCTGACCGGCCCGCTGCTCCCCTCAGCAGTGTACTTCCTCGATCTGTCTGTTGTGCTCCCCACTCTGGCCCTGGTGAATCCTCTCACCCTCCGCATCTCTGGCCTGTACCCCAGTTCTGTACGAATAAATCTTTTTTTAAAAAAAAAAAACTAAGATAGAAAGAATACTACAATAACTTGAACTCTATTCTTTTGTCCAACTTACCACTATAAATCAACAAAAAACATTGGTAACTGCCAACAAAGCATAACATTCAAATGATGGAATTAAAAACAAGGTGCTACTTTTACAGATGGCATTTCTTTATATTTAAAACAAATACACAAATAATATGCATACATGGTTTTACCTTTGAACTGGATGTCCATTCCATGTTAGACTTTTTCTCAGTGTTACATGCCAATTCTTCTGGAGGACATTCTAATAAATTGTCTCCATGTATATCATTTCTGCATAAAGGGCATTTAGCATGTGGCTATATAATAAAGAACAAAGTATAAGTGAAACCAAGGGAAAAAGAAATATAAATCTGCCTAAAATATTTTTATAATATGGTAAATCCTGTACCCCTAAAAGTTATCTTTCTATTAAATCCATTTGAGATAAATCTGTATATGATAAGTTCCAGGAAGATAGTGTTCAAGTCTGTAAAATGGGGTAGGTCATAAAGGAGAGCAAACATATATGCTGTACCTAGCAGCAAGAGCCTGAAACAATAAATACAGCATCATTTTGCAGACAAATAAAGAAACCATGAGTAACAATTTCCTGATCCTAACTACAACATAGCACAGCAGTTGGAACCATCCTTTAGAAGAAGAAAAAAAATGTTTTAATGGCTTATAAAGGCAGTCAACATCTAGTAAGTCTTATTGAGTGTAGCTAAAGCTTTATTGGTGTATTCATTTGTAATAAAGACCTGCTAATAATATAAGATTATCTCTTAAACATCTATGTATCAAATACCTTTACCATAAGATTTTGGAACAATGTAAAATTCTAAAAATATTAAAGATTTTGGATATAAGGAGGAGTGACCTTCAGAAGAAGTAAGAGGTTAAATGATTCGGAGGGTACACAGGCATCTTGAGTAGTAGTTACATGTATGTGTTTATTACTTCAATTACTAAACTGTACAATTATGACTTGAGCGATTTTCTATATATATATATCAATATAAGTATTTTTTAAAAATTCTATCTCAGCTGAAAGACTTATTTAAAGATAATTTCACCTAAAAAATTTTAATAATACACAAGAATCTAGATTCACGTTTTCCAACACAATAATTCATAACCACGTGGCAATTAAGCCCCTGACACTCAGCAAGCTAAATAGAGATGTTCTATAAGTGTATTAATACCACCAGATTTTGAATATTTAAGCTAAAATATATGTAATGTATTGCAATAATTTTTTTAAATTTCAGATGTTGAATTAAATAAAGATGTTTGATTAAGTAAAAATATTATCAAATGTATTATAAGAAAAAAATTCACTGCCCTCCCACAGGTGGCACAGGAGTGAAGTCTCAGCACTATACCCTCTATAGACTGTGTTCAATCCCCAGTCAGGGATCTAGCCCACAATATGGCACACTGTACCCCTTGGCATTGTAGTTTAGTAAATCCACCTCCTCTGCTCCCCACTCTGTCTCTGGTGAATTCCTCACCCTGCTGCATCTCTGGCACCCCATTTCTTTCATACAAAATTAAAAAAAAAAATCAGAAAAAGAATAAGCATCATTTTCTCCAAAAATGTCTTTTTATGTTAAAGGGACTTATCTATAAGAACGAAACTTTTTAAAATACTGATATAAAAACCATGAAAGACACACTAGTAAACCCAAACAAAAAACATAGTATGTTGGACTTAGGCTTTCATTATACTCAATACAGGTGGCATCACTCCAACAAAGCTAAATCTGTAGAAGAAAAAACTAACCTGTTCATTCTGAATGACCTGACAAATACAGGGTTTACAAAAGACATGTGCACAATGTGTTATGACAGGAACTGTTAAAGAATCCAAGCAAATTGCACATTCTTCATCAGAACCTGAGCTCAGAATTAATTTCATCTTCCTTATTAACTTCTTCTGTAGTTCTTCAGGTGTATCATTTCCTAAAGAAAAGGCTGAAAAATTAATTTCAGAGCAGTATTTGTAATATCACAAGACAAACCTTCCTTATACAAGGAAAAGTTTTGCTTGAGTAGTTTAAATTTAGTCTTTATCATAAGCAAAATGTGTGGTGTAAATCTGAAATTTAAATTTCAGAAGTTGAACTGTGACTAATCCAAATAATACACCACACCTAGAAACATCATTATAACATAATTTGTACTTACAGACTAAAGATTCATTCTGAACCTTTCATCTAAGAGTATCACTGAAAAATCAGCAAAGACCACCTCATTAATCTTACTTAATCTTAATCATCACCATCTCCTAACTTATTATCACTACTTTAACTCTGTTCCTACAATCTAAATTTTAACACAGTAGTCAGTGATCCTTTTAAAGTACAAATACAATTAAATGTAAAAACTCCTGTTGGACTTTTCCCTAATCATTTTATTAATATTCCATTTCAAGTGGTAAGTGATTCTCAGGTATATTCTCAGTTAAATCTTGTATTAAAGACAATGTTCATAAGACAGAATAAAACAACAAACTAAAATCAGACCATATAAAACTTTCTCATTCAGATTTCAATATCTCTAAAAAATGTAATGGTGTAAATTAATCATATTTACCTACCTGAGGTTACACTTGAAGACACTGCATTTGTAAGAAGATGAGTATGACAACATATCTGCCGCAATCTAAGCAAAAGACCCAGGACATCTGCATAATGTGCAAGGACAGTCCCTTCATTAAAATACCTACAGGTGAAAATGTTAAATATTGTGAATGCCTCCAAAAAAACAGCAATATCTCCACTTCTGAAACTGCTGAATAAAAAATGGCAGTGTTTGCTCCTCTCTGTAATCACTTCAAAAAAAATAATGGAAAACAAAAAGAAGCAAAATCTAATAAATCCAGGAGAGATTTGTTAACAATAAAGCAAAGTATGATAAATGGTTATAAATCACAGTAAAAGGAAGATACTGAGATCTATGATTACAAATCTCAAACAGATGAGTTAGGGCACAGTTCTCCTAAAAGAAGAAATTCTCACCTATATGCAAAAACAAAAACAGGGTACATGGTTAGTGCTGTACTTACACAGAGGAGGAGGGAAATGAAGCTGAGTAAGAAAACATAGATCTACTATGTTTACAGAAAAGACTATGGGCACAGCATTCTGAATCGGTAAGCAACCTAAAATTTCTATGTTGTGGTAATTCTAACAGTGTAATCCCCAGAGAAAGGGGAGGTTCCAGTTTCATAACCCAACCTAAGTAGGTGTGAAGGAGGGCAGGGAAGAGAAGTTAGAAAGACTGGGAGAAAGAATTTGGTGAGGGAGGTGAAAGGAAAACCTGGAGGAAGCATACAGAGAAGAGAAACACGTGAGAAAGCCGTGCTTACTTCTCGATCTTGGACTTGTACCAGGGACTTGGGAAACTTGAAAGACTTGTAGGGAGTCTGACAATGGCAGCCATTACCTTGACTTGCATTTTTATTTTGCTTTTTTCCTTCTAGACTCGCCTGACCCCTTCTGTCGCTATCCTATGGTTTCCACCAGAAGATGCCTTAGGCCTGTGGCAAGCTTTCAGGTCTTAGAGGCCCAGCTTTGGGTCAACCCTATTTGGCTAGACATTTATCACAAGGGTTTGAGTAACTTTGTGTGTTTAACTGGAAACTACTTTCACTATATCCTGTCTCTTCTCTTGACTGTACACTAATTGTGATCAAGTTCTTTTCTATTAAAGGTTTTACACAGTAAGAGTTTTTTTAGTGTTTTTTGCAGTGGATGGCAGAACCTATTTAAAGCATATGGTTTGGAGGTGCTGGGTGTCCCTCAACCTGCTTTCTAACACACTATGCAATATTTACTATTAGAAATCAGAAATATATAATCAATGTGTACAAAACTGAGTTGCTGATAATCCTTAAAAAAACACCGCTCCTCCCACAGACCTATTTCTACAAATAGCAATTCTATCCTATAGACACCGACTTGAAAAATCTTGGAATTATTTTCACTCCTGTCACATCCCGTGTTGTATCAACTGGTAAGTTGTTGGGTCTCCTCCAAACACAACTGAATCCATCAATCTCTCATCACTATTACATAGTAAAAACTATTATCACCTCTTTTTTTATCACCATTGCTTTAAGGGCCTATTTAATATAGCACTCAGAGATCCTTTTAAGGCACAAAGATTTATCAATCTCTTGGTCCAAAACCCTTGAAAGGTTCCTAATCTCTTAAAAACTGAAAGCCAGTATGTCACAATGCCTTAAATAATTGTCATCTGTCCCAATTCCATTACCTCTCTGACATCAACAATTCCTTTCCATCTTATTCATATTACCTAGTCATGCCATTTTCTTGGTTCATCTTCATCTTGGGTCAAGTTCACCAGATATGCTCCCAACTCAAGGTCTTACCTGCTTTTCCCACTCTCTAAAATGTTTCCTCAACCTCAATCTTCTAGGACTTTTCCTGTACAATTATTTTCTAAATAAGGTTGCCCCTGAATACACTATTAGAGCAGCTTTAACTCCTAACCTTCTTTATGCTTTCCTTTTCCATAAAATTTATTTTTATCATGATTTTTCCCACTGAAATGTCTATCCTAAAAGGCAGATTTTTATCTACTTCATTCCACTGCATTCCAAAAGAGTTCATGATTGAAACATAATAACTTAGTTTCAGCTGAAACATAAATATGAAGGAAATTCCCATCACTACTCAAAACTCTTATAATAATCTTTCTCAGTCTCTTAACTCCTACTAAATCAGTTTTGAATTCATGGACTTCTTATGTTTTGAAGGATGAATCCAGTATTTTCTCAGCTCTGTTTTTCTTGCCTTCACTTGTCTAACTCATTCAGGTTCTTCACATCAAAAATGCTCTTCAACTAGGATTTAACTTCTATCTCTAAAACCTACTTCGTGAGCGCCTAGTTTCCAGAGTCTCACCTGTTGCTGTAAGATCAATTTGACTTAACTACACATATTCAATACTATGAGAAGCATTACTGTGTTATGATGGTTGCAAATTCATGATCAATTTCCCACAACTTTAATCTACAGAGACCCTTTCCTCATATTTTACTGATTGTAATCTTGATATTACATATCCCCACACCAGTTCATTTCTTCCTATTTGCCTTATTTTCCTTTGATTCTTAGTCACTTCCCCATTCTCTCCCTCCTAAGGTCATTTCTTAACTAAAGCTACCTAAAAATTGATTCACCCATCAATCCTATTTCATAGTCTCACTTTTTTTCCTTTTAAAGAAAAACTTAGTGGCAAAAATGGTCTATTCTAAACTTCTATTTCTTTGCAACTCCCTTTCCTCCTACAATTTGGTCACATCATTCCCATGGAAAGTAGCCTGATAATTTTTATTACAAAAGTTTATTTTTACATCATTTTGTACATTTTTTTCCATCTCGATTGTAATCCCCACGGGTTTCCCATCACCAAGTCACCCGTGTGCCATCACCATAATCCCATGCATTTCCCTCCCCCCACCCCCCATTTCTGATCCCATTCCCCACTCCACCCCCACAAAATGTAGTATCCTGATAATTTTTATAAGTAACTTCAAGGTGACTTTCAGAGTCATTAAATAAGCTTTCCTAAGTCTTAACTGTATGATATCCCTCTCTATTGATTACTTTTTTCCTCCTACTGTCTTATTTATTCCTACTTTCTCCCCTTGAAACAATCTCCTACAGTGGCTGCTAAGTAGAAACTGAGAATTTGCCATTTCATGTAAATTTTTAGTCTAACTTAAGAAATTACTTTCCTGGTGAAGTATATTATTTCATTTAACTATCTGTAAAAAGTAATTAAAAAACAGTGAAAGAAACAACTTATTCTTCAGACTTTACTGCAAACATATCTCAAAATTACCATTCGATTAAATGTAAAGAAGTTATGTTTCAAAATGGCTTTCTTAGGCTTCCCTGGTGGTGCAAGGGGTCATCTCAGCACTATGAAGCTATTCCCAGCCACTGCAGCACAGATTCTAGCCTTGGCCAGGGCGCTAACCCATCACACCTGTCCCCTCGGCAATGCTAATTTCAGTTAACCTGGCTGTTCTGTTGCCTACGCTGTCTCTGGTAAATCCTCTCACTCCTCTGCACCTCTGGCCTAACCCCAATTCTTGTATACATACATACATAAATAAATAAATCTTATAATTTTTTTTAAAGGGCTTTCATTCTTCATACCTTCCAATAGTAGCTCTGCCTTCATTTTTCACAGACTGATAAATCTTTCTCTCTTCATCTGAAAGTGTAATGTGCTGAATAAATACTTTACGTTCTGGTAACTCCAAAACAGGTTTTCCTTTAATTTTGCTTGTCTTTGTTCTTCTAAGTGTAATATTTTTAATTAGGGATTGTAAACGCCTAGTGAAAATTAAAGAAAAAAAATTACTTCTTATTTCTGTATAAACAAGATTCAATAAAAACAAGACTTTTAACCTAAGATATTTAATATAAGGTTTTTAAAAATTTCCTTATTTGGGGTTTTGTTCGATTTAATAATCATGGACATACGGAGAAAGTCAAACAATTAGACTCAGATTTCCCCACAATTCATTATTTTGCAGATACAAATTTTTATTGTATCATTAATTTTCTTAATTTCTGCTCCCCAAGATTTTACTTCATAATTTTGTCAATATCACCAAATATTTAATACTTAGTATTTAAATGCAAGCTATTAAGTGTCATAAAAATGTAATGTAAGCCTACCTCCAAATGTTTTTTTCCCACTAATATCAAATAAATTTATATAATGAATACATAAATATGCAATCTTTATAAAATATTTTGACAAAAAAATTAAAATGTCATGTGACAACTCAGAACAGGGAGAAATGCCTTTTAGGTTCTACAACCTTCACATTCCCTTTTATGATATCAGAAAAAAAGGGGGGTAGAACATTATCAACATTGAAATGTAAGTATTAGTTCTTAGGTTAGTAGTTAAATAATTGGTTCTGAGGAGTGTAGTAGACAGAACTACATACTGATTAGTGGCTTCTAAAACCTTTTTCTACTATAAGCAGTTCTGAGCAAAGGAGCCTAGCAATTCACTTGACACACTACAGGATGTGGTACTGCCTCTCGAAAGGCTTAACTCTTATTCACTGTAAAACATTTAATGATAATTTTAGCTTTTTATAAAAGCAAAATTTTCTCTTAGTTAGGCAATTTTTGTAAAGAGGGGTATACCTACACTTACATGTGATACATTTACTTTTTTACCTCTTCTGTTTATTTTTCTTTTACAATGCAAGCTGCCATCTTTATAATTTTATAATCTTAATGGATTCCAAAATGCTGTCTGAAAACCACAACTCTAAACAACTCAAACTACCATTAGTCTAGTACCTTGCAAAATCACCATAACCAAGCTGAATTTTATTTATGCTCTCAATGTTAACCTGTTTCCACTAGAAACTACTTTAATAAAATGTGTTGATGTCATTATATGTACCATCATTTAAATAGCATTATACAAAGTTATACAGGATGTTTTGGAAATTAAGTGCATATCAAATCCTCAGAGCCTGTAACATTATTCCTATCACTGTTTAATCTATTGATATTAAGTGGTTTGGGGGATAATAGCAACACACAGACATAACACTCCAACTTTACTTTCAGTTTGATCAAAACCAGCGATGATTAAAGTTTTATGTTTTAATGGTAATTAAAAATTTCTTCCCTCCCCAAGTAAAAATCACTAGGTTCTAAGAGCCTACGGCACATTTTGAAAGAAGTTAATTTGTGATGACTGTTTCAAGTTACCAGTAGTTATTTGTCACTAATACCAATCGTCATGAAATTACTTACCTAAGTCCTCCTTCGTCTCCCATTGTGACAGGACGTTGTATTGTTCTATGCCACCACTCTCTATCAATAAATGGCTTAAGTTTTAAAAAGGAGAGAAGAGACCACAAGTCTTTCAAAGAATTTTGAATTGGAGTGCCTAAAAATAATAGGAAAACTATTAGAACTCTATAACCAGAATATAAAATAAGAATATCCATCTGTCCCAGAAGACACTACAGTTGACAATTGGTACTCCACACCAGAAACAAACACTATCAAGCTATGGCTATCATCCCTTGTTCAACATATATACATTCTCAAAGTTTTCTAATTTTCAGTTCTTGCTTACCATGCTAACCAAAAAAAGGACCTTCGACCCAGTAAATTCAACATTTTCCTTTTCAGGAACATTTCATCTTTTGGATTTTTAGAAGCAGCAGTACCAGCAAAAGCAAAACACTGATTTCACTTTATATTCTCTTCCCATATTCTAGTAAAAAGTGTCAGGACTAGGGTCCTCCCTAGTGGCACAACAGATTAAAGGGCAGTGCTATGAAGCTATCCGCAGCCAGTGCACACGAGTTCGATCCCCAGGTGAGGAGGTGACCCATATGGCATGACAGACCTCCCCTGTCTTGCCCACTACTCCCCTCAGTAGTGTATTTCAGTCAATCTGCCTATTCTGCTCCTCTGTCTCACATGAATCCTCTCACCCCCCCACACCCTTTGGCCTATGTCCTAGTTCTGTATGCGTAAATAAATAAATCTTTAAAAAATAAGTGTCAAGAGCAGTGAACAGGTTTCAAATGTAGAGAAATAAAAATTCTAAGAGGATGATTCAAGCTTTCTAATCTCCAATATATAAGTCTAGTGATTCTTCCACAAGCTGTCTAATCTCCAAAGTATAATTCTAGTGATTCTTCCATAAATTAATAATTCAAATGTGGCTATATCATGCACAACTATGAAGAACAAGTAAAACACATTTTATCAGATGTGTTATGATTCATTTCCAGACAGAATTTTATATTAACTTGAAATTTACTAACTTAATAACACCTTTTAGAAAAAGTATAATGCTATTTACCTGTCAAAACCCATCTTCTTTCTGCTTCTAAATCAAGTACAGCTTTTGTCTGCTGAGCATTTGGATTTCGTATGGCATGTCCTTCATCCAGGATTACTCTTAGCCACCTTATGCTATGTAATGGACTATCACCTTTAGTCTGAAATAAATGTTTCATCTGAATTAAAACTACCGTAAAATAAAATAGCACATTATATAATCAGTTGTTTCATTCATAACATCAATACTTATTACACAGCAGATACTGTTTTGATACTACATACCTTCAGTTAACGTTCACAAGTCTGTATTCTCATCACTTTTATTTTTCAGATAAGAAAACTGAAGCAAGGTATGAAATATATTGCTCAAGTTATCAGAGCTGGAAATAACAGTGTTAGCTAACATTCAAACTTAGTCTAGCTCTTTGTTGAAACCTTGGTTCAGATTACTGTCAGCTATAAGAATAATGTGAGTATGACAAACTAAAACCTTTCATGTAAAATGTAATGTTCTTGACAATACAAGTGAAATCTTGACAATAAGCAATTCTGAAGAACATATTAACTTAAAAGCTGGAATTCAAAACCCTTCCTGGTGGTGGGTTTTGAACCACAATACTATGAAGCTATCCACAGCCACTGTAGCACAAGTTTGATTCCTGGCCAGGGGGGTGACCCACATAACATGGCAGACCACTCCTGACCTCCCACTTCTCCCCTCAGCAGTGTTTTTCAGTTGATCTGCCTGGTCTGCTCCTCACTGTCTCTGGTGGGTCCACTCACACCCCCACTACCTTTGCCCTATAACCCAGTTTTTGCATGCATAAATAAATCTTAAAAAAAAAAAACCAAAAACTGGGATTAAAGGCACAAACAAAACTTCAGAAAGAACTGGGGAACCTGCGAATTTCTGTCAGAAAAAGGGCTTATTTTTAAACTAAGGTGCTCATCAATAAAATTCTATTAAAAATAGAATTCATTTAGCTTGATATTAATTATAATCCAAGTAAAAAAAATTGTCTGGTGTTCTAAATAAAAAAGTCATTATTACCTAGTCTAATCTTGTTTTTATAAAACATTAAAATTTCTACTTTTGGGGCCTCCCTGGTAGCACAATGGGTTGGGGTGCAGCACTGCAAGCTAGCCACAGTCACTTCAGTGCGAGTTTCATCCCCGGCCCTGGAGGCAATCCACATGGCGCGGCAGACCTCTCCTGACCCACCTGCTGCTCCCCTCAGCAGTGTACTTTGTTGATCTGCCTGTTCTGTGCCCCACTCTGTCTCTGGTGAAGCCTCTTACCACCCCTGCACCTCTGGCTTGTACCCCAGTTCTGTATGAATAAATAAGTCTTTAAAAAAAATTATACTTATTTCCTACGTATCATGAATTTAAATGAGTGACAATGGTTTATTGGTGAGATGTGGTGGGAAAGCTTTGGGGACTATAAAGATGTAAGAAAAAAAAATTAATAAAAAGAAATAAGGTATTTCAAGTATACTTATGCATGCATACCACTAGTGGAAAAGGTCTTTCCCTACTTAAAATTACATGTTTTCAAGGCTATTATGATCATCCTCCCACTATACTTTGGTTAGTATTAGTGCTGAGAAATGCAAATTAAAATTACATGGGAGACTAATGATGTGAAATGCTTACATTCTAAATATTTAATAAGCATGTCAATAATCTCCTAAAATATTTGATAAACATGGATCAAACCTAAAAGATATCAAAGGGAAATACTAAAACTAAAATAAAATTACATGGCAATTCCCAACTCAAAACAAATGAAATGACTTAGTACAGTTTAAATAAAATTATGATCAACTTCATCAGTTTATTCAGTAACAAGAAATGTGTATTTGTGTTTAACTCCTGTTTCTCTTAAGTTCTAGAAATTAAAAAGAAAAAGGCAACAAAGTATGAATTTTAGAACAATTTAGTAATCTGAATTATACTGCCCCAAGTTCAACTTCTGAAAAATCTCTGTATTGTTAGCATACTTACTCCATAATCATGAGTTAAAATATTGTATGTAGTCAAAACAATATCCTGTCTTGAAAGCAAGGTTGGGTCTCTGATACGGTCAGGACCATAATAAACATAAAAATTCAAGTGCACATCTGATTTGATATGTTGTCCAAACTGGTCCTAAAAGACAATTAGAAATAATTTTAATAATAATTAGTTGCATGTGTATGAAAAGTATTTTCTTGGAAGAAGTGGCATAAAATCAAACTCTTAAAAATTATATAAATAAGTATTCTGAAATCTAACCTAAAATAACAATAACAAACAATACTAATTAGGAATTATTATTATAATATTGTATATTATAAATAATATTAATGTAAGTATTAAGAAAACTAACATAGTAACAATATATAAATTTAGCCTGGCTCTACCAGTAAGCAGTACTTCATTTTTAGGAGTTAAAGAAAGTCATAATTTCTTTAAAATAATAATTAATCCTTTGAAAATTTAACATTTTAACACAATGTGGCATTAATGCTCCCAAGGTGCTGGCCTAAGTGAAGAACACTGTGGGGATTCCCACTTTCAATTCTGGTACCCACAACACATGCCGAAGCTACTCCAAGGGTACAGGGAGCTCTGTGCTCTACTTACCCTTGCTAGTACCAGTTGTCCGATCTGAATCAACAGGTACAACAGGTATCACTCAGAAAGTCAATTACTACTACAATCCATAACAGAAATAAAACATAAGACAATGGAAAAGGAACTTAAAACATAAGACAACCTAAAATATAACAGACAAGCCAAGCCAAACACACAGAACCTTAACAAGATAAGCACTTATATCTCAAAAATCATATGCAATGCAAATGGCCTGAATTCACCAGTCAAAAGAAACAAGTGGCTGAAGTCCAACCTTCTAATGTGTATAAGAAACCATTTTACTAACAAAGCACAGACTTGAGTTAATGGCTACAAGATAGAAATACAAGCAAATGAAAACCACACAAAAAAGTAAAATTAAAAAAAAAAATCTAATTAAAACAGACTTCCAATTTAAAAAAAAAAGGCAAGTGATAATAATTTGTGATTGTCTATTACAGTAAGGAGAAATGAAACTCATTTATACCAAATGGTGGAACACAGAAATATGTAACACAATTCACAGAACTCTTGAAGAGATTTTGACAATACTAGAGTATTTTAATAACCCACTTACAATAGATAAACAAAACAAAGAATAATAATAGCCTTAAAAGAGTTGTCTAGCTGATAAGTATAATACTTCATCCCAAAACCACTATAGTTTTTACTGTACACATAGTACAGTTAAGTGCACCTATAACATTTTCAAGAAAGACCAAATGTTGGGTCACAAGTCAACTGTCCATAAAATTACAAGATCGAAATTATGTTAAGTATCATTTAACCATAATGTCCTAAAGTTAGAAGTCACATGTAAGAACACACAGACACAAAAAACTATTTAAAAAATTACGTATGTGTGGAGACTAAACAACATGCCGTGTACGAACTGGGTAAGAGGAAATTAAACAGAAATCAAGAAATACCTTAAGTTTAATGAAAAAGATGAGACAAGCTACCAGACTCTATGGGTGCAACAAAAGTGGGAACATAAATTAAAAAAAAAAATTATCTATTTTAGAATCTAGAGCTTTAAAAGCACATGGGCACTGAATTTCAAAATGTTGAAGACCATATCCTAGCTACATCACACAACAGTGAACAGTCTTAGGGAAGTTAATTTACTTCTGTGTTACTCAACTGGGTAACAGTCATGAAGAATACAAGAGAACAATCTATGAAAAAGACATAGGGAAAACAGCAGCTTGTAAGTATTAACAAGTTGTTGTAAAAACAAGTTACAATGAATGATTTCTTAGGAAAGAGATCATAATAGTTTATAAACATGCTAAGAATCTTAAACTGGAGAATCTTAAATTGGAGAGAAATGGTAGAGTAAGAAGTACAATTTTATGTTAATATTATTGATGGTTATTTCTGTTACAAACCCCATTACTTGAACTTAAATATAAAATGCAGACTAAGCTTATTTTCTCCCAATGAATGATTCTAACAGAATGACAAGTACAAATTACATTGCATTTTAAGAGGGCTTCAAAACTTACAATCCAATTGCTTAATACAGAAAGAGGACAGATGATCAGTGTTGTTCTTGGTGTCCCTTCCACATCAATTTTCTTTGAACATTCTACTGCAGATGCTCCTGAAAAGTGAATCAGTTATACAATTTTTAGTTTATTCCCCTCAAATACGAGTATCAACTAACAACTATAAACCAGAGACATTCTACAGGGAAGGAGATCAAAACTGGGGTGGGAAGAGCACATGGGACTATGGTGATGGCACATGGGTGAAGTGGTAGCAGGAAGACCACCAGGATTAAAACTGAGATGAAAAATGTACAAAATGAAGAATGATGTAAACATATATATATATATATAATTTTAAAAAGATAATAATGTGACTCTAAAGAAAAATTAGGAAGCATTAAAATGAAGCAGATGGACTTTGGTTTCCAGTCATGATATAGTAACAGACTAGATTTTACTGTGCCACTGGAAGCAATTAAAAATCTACATAGCAATTTATGAGGCAGGGTCTACAGATTCTGAATGGAAAGGAGCACAAGAACCTTGGATTATTCCCTGACATTTGTTAAGCTAGTCCTACTTATTTTTTAAGATGAACATTGTTTCATACAGTTTTCTGAAGCTGAATTATAATTAATGTAGTGGACAGATTCCAAAAGATAGCCCCCAATGATAATCACTTCCTGCATCACAACCTTTTGTAGTTCCCTCCCACATTCTATAAGGGTTGATCTGGTAACCAACAGAATATGGTATACCACTTATGAGTTTATAAAAGATGAGTTATAAAATATGCAGCTTCTGTTTTAAGTGGTATCTCCCTCTCGAATCATTCATTTTTGGGGAAGCCAGCTGCCAATGTTGCAAGGGCATTCAGGTAACCTACACGAGGACACATTACAATTTTATTTTCTATTCCTTAAGTAGACAACATTTACATTATTTCAAGTATTTTATGAAAATAATGTGGGGAGGGGAAGCTGTTTTCATGTTTCTTTCATGTCTATAGAGTTCTAGGTGGTATATCTTTTTCTCCATTATATTTGATATCTGACACTCCCATCTAGCATGCATGAATTACTATAGCAGCAACTCTTGCTTATACTTAGCACTGAGTTTTTTTTTAATGCTTGTAAATATGGGGGACAAGAAGATATCGCAATGTTCCCTTAATTTGCATTTCCTCAAAGATGAAGTCTGATTAATTTCCCTGTTTATTAGTAATTTGGGTTTTCTTTCATGAATTGCATTAATATTCTTTGTGGGTATTTCCCTATTACACTGTATATTTCTAAATGATTTGCACATAATTCTTTACATATTCTAGATACTAGTACTTTCTAAGTTACACTTATCACAAATAACTTCAACCTTATTTTTCACTTTGTTCAATACTCTTTTTCTTACAACTTTACAAGAAAATATGGGTTCATTCTCCATTTTCTTTTACTGTCTATTCTGATTTTCTTCCAGAAATATATTTATTTTGGTTTTATCACAGCTGTGATTTATATTTGTCCACTGTAAGTCTATCTTTATTGAAAATTCCACACTTCTTAAGTAATTTATCTGAAATGCCTGTTTTCTAATCCTGACTGATTCTTACCAAAGTTAGCTTTTTTCATTCATTCTGTGTTAAATATGGTCAAAAACATAGCCCTTTACAGTCAATCTTTACTTCACTATCATCCCTTTATTGTCATCACAGTACTTAACAATTATGTTCTAGTTGCTTTACAGTCAATCTTAACTATCATCCTTTTATTGTCGTCACAGTATTTACCACTTAATTATGTTCTAGTTGCTTATTGTATTTCCCTTATCAATAGATATAAACCTCATGAAAATAAATTTATCTGCTATATCCTCAACATGTACAACACTAGAAGAAATTACCTCTGGTAATGAGAGGAATGAAAAGACCTTTCCATTGTATGCTTGACTTAACTACAAAATAAACTAGGAAAAGGTACTTGAAGACAAATGAAAATGTACTGCTTATTTAAATGGGACTAGTTTCCTTGTTTTTCTATATTCTAAACTTCTTATAACGTGGTTTTACAACTTTTGTCATTTATAATTTTTCTACTAAGAAATAGAACAAACAAAACAAAACTAAAATGCCAGCAGACTTACTAACCCTTTTTCAACATTTTCTTTTTTGTTGCAGGGGATGAAACAAGAGCATACGCAAACTCTGCATCTTCCTTAACTTTAGAAGATCCTGCTGAAGAAAAGTAACAGAATTATTAAGATACCTGAAAACATTCTCTACTTGGGTACCGGCATTTTTTCCTAAGACTAGGAAATATAATACCACATCCACTCTATTTTAAGAGCTCCTATTACCAGATAATAAAAACAGTATCTGATAATCAAAATTGCCTCTTCCACATTCAGTAATCTTTCCAGTTCAGAAAAAGAATGTCATCACTCATGATGTGTCAGTTTTTTTCTTCTTAAGTAGTATGAAAGTAGGAACAGTCACAAGCAAATTTGAGTCCCAAGGCACAATCCTTTGAAGTTCTGAAACCAGGCAGACTAAAGTTATGAAAGTCTTAGGTGACATTTTCTATCAATATAAAGTGTGTTCATATATATTGAAAATTCACTGAGTGTAGCCACCTTCATTTATTATGTTGCTTAGTTACCTATATCTATTAACCTTAAGTAGATTTATTTTTAAAGATTTATTTATTTATGCACACAAGAACTTGAGTTCAGAGGTCAGAGGTACAGAGGTGAGAGGATTCACCAGAATGGGGAACAGAACAGGCAGATGTATTGAAATATACCGCTGAGGGGAGCAGCAGGTGGGCCAGAAGAGATCTGTCATGTTATGTGGATCAATCCCCTGGCCAGGGATTGAACTCATGCTACAGCGGTTATGGACAGCTTCATAATGCTGTTGTGCTTTAACTTGCTGCACCACCAAGGAAGGACCTTAGGTAGATTTTCTGGAATAATTGCTACAACTGCTGCTTCACCTTGCACATGGGGCTTCTTTCCTTAATCGTTAATCAACCTATGTTTGGCTTTAAGCTTTCCTTCTGGTGCTTCCTTGGCTTTCTCAGTTTTTATAGAACTGAGCTTGTTCTAGATTTAGCTTTGGCTTATGGGAATGTCATGTCTGGTCTGCCCTTGTTCCAGACCATTTAAACTTGCTCCATAATAATAAGGCTATCTTGCTTTTGTATCATTTGTGTGTTTGCTGATGTAGCACTTTTGTTTTCTTTCAAGAACCTTTCCTTTGCTTTTTTAAGTGTTTGGAGCAAAAAGCCCGGCTTTTAGCTTATCTCAGCTTTTCAAATGCCTTCCTCATTAAGCTTCAGGATTTCCAGTGTGTTATTTAAAGTGAGGAAGATATGAATCTCCCTTTCAAATACTTAAGAGGTCATTATATGGTTATTACCCAGCATAATTTCAACACTACCGTCTCAGAGAATAGAGAAACATAAGGGGGGAGAGAGAGAGAGAGAGAGAGAGGGAGAGAGAGAGAGATTGATTGTGGCAGGGGAAGACAGGTGATGTGTAGAGCAGTCAAAAACCACAATATTTATCGTTAAATTTCCCATCTTCTAAGAGCACAGTTTGTGGCACCTAAAACAACTGAAAATATCATCATATAGATAATAGGTCTGATGAAAACATTTGAAATACTGTGGGATTTACCAAAATGTGACACAGGCGCCAAGTGAAAACATGCTGTTGGAAAAAAAAAAAAGGCACATAAAAATTGCAATAGCTGTGAAGCACAAAAAAGTGAATGAAGCTCACTGAAATGAAGTATGACTACAATTTCTACAAATACAAATAAAGTTTATAATACAAGTAGTAAAATGCAGTAAGAAAATACTATGTTTTGTTTAAACTTGGCTTAAGTATTTTTCTCTTAAGATTTTAATTTCACTCTTCTTTCAGTTTGTCTCACTCATTTAATACTTAGTACATTCCACTCATTTAAAACCCTTAGTACATTCATGAGTAGTTCAAGTTTAGCAGCAGTCAAGTTTAAAATCTACTACACCAAAGAATTCAAACTTGGAGAGATACTTATCAATGGGGCTTTAGTTACTTTTAAGTGTCAATTACAGGTATTGAGATGTACATACATACCTTTTACTCTGCTTTTGGCATCTGATTGTGTATTTTTCAGTTTGCCTACAAACAACCAAATATAAAAATGGTCACACTAAAAAAACCAGAACATATCATACATTATCAAATCAACTCCACTCACATTACCTTTCACTTTCTGTGGCAATTCACTTGTTTCAATTTCCTCTGAATCGCTGCTTTCAATGTACTGTACAGCAGTTTTTCTTCTAAAATTAAGGATATAATAAAAGCACATAATTAAAAGCATTATCAATGCTTTTGTTTTGCCCTTTTAATTTCAAGAAAAATTTTTCAACTGACAAATGAAAAGTCATTATTTACTAGAAGCATTTTGCTTCCATAACTGCATTAGTTACAAAAAATACAGTACTACTATTATTAAAATTTATTTGAAAAACTATTTTAAAATAATAAATCTTTTTCAACACTAAATATTGATAATTCAATTATATGAAATTACAAAAGGAAATGACATCAAAACATTAACTACTTCTAAAATAGTGTCTAACAAGCAACAATTCTTTAATAGTGAAAAATGTCTACTTTTGTGTACAAAGAGTGTAACACTGTAGTTAACTGGCTAAGAATAATGCACTCTGGAGTCAAACTGTCTAAATTTAAATCTCCACTTAACTTTACCAGTATCACCTAGCCATCCTCAGTTTCCTCATTCAGAAAACAAATAAAATACAACCCTCTTTTTAGGATGAAGTGTTGTTATTATATGCAAAATCCTTTTATAATAGTATTTATGTACTACCTAATACAGTTATTAGTTTACCCCATGTACTCATTCTTATTCTGTGTACTTTAAAATGTTCTGATCTACCCAATAGTGCTCTGTTACTCATCGGCAGCTCAGAGTTCTAACAGTCAAGCTCTTGAGAAAGAACAATGAATCCTAGTTTATGTTCAGTTCAGACTCAGTAATGATAAAGAGCTCTCTACTGGTGAAATAGCTTACAAAGACTATCATTTCTGAGGTCAACCTATTAATATTGATGGTAAATGATATAATAAAAGCTAATATTTAATTCAAAGAATAGGTAAAATTCAAAGTTAACAGATTCAAATTGAGAATTGAGGGACATTATTATATTCCAATTCCACCACTATAGTTTATGTATGTTAACATAAAACTCTTAAGAAGCTTTATCTTATAGTGAAGGAGAAGTGAGAAAGAACTGAGATGAGCAAAGAATGGTTTCTAATAAAGCAATCCAATAAATACACATCTCCTCAGATTCATGAAGAAAAAACACTTTTAGAGTCTCAACAAAAACAAAAGCCCATGAGGTAGATCGTATTTCTTAGGTGAATGAAAAAAGGAAAAAAAAATGATAGACCAGCAACTATTAAAGATAACAAATTCTCAGATTAGTATTACTCTTTTTCACATATATGTCTAAAGTCACAAAGATGTTGGCAATTTCAAATAAAAGACTGTTTCTGAAAGAACTACATAATTAAGGTTACAATGGTACTATCTCAATAGAGAATTTAAATAAACATATACAATCCAATCAAACCATAAGAGTTTTTACCTTTTGGGGCGGGAGCTAGACAACTCTGACTTGGGATATTTATTCTTTTCCTTGATATCTGAAATACTGGGATCACCACTACATCTAGAGTCTTCTATTTCAAAGAAAAGGACAAATGAGTATAAATGAATTGCCTCAGACTAGCAGTATCCTTATTAAAGTACCTTGGTTTTCTAATTCAATAATTCAACTTTCTTAATAGCTTATTCCTCTCCCTTCAAACAAATCAGTCAGCTGTTTCCTTTTTTTTTTTTAACTAAAAAATACCTATCAATTTTTGTACCCAGTCTTTCCTCTGTAGTCATTTCAACCACTAGCCACACTGAATTTCCTGCTGTACCAACACAGTCAGAGCTGCTAGGGAAAAATAAACAATGGAAAATCAGGTGATAATATAACTAAATTTTCAAGTTTTAGCTGTTGCCTATGTCACTTAGCAACTGTTGAACACTATCACATAACCTCCTTATCCACTGAAATAATCTATACTGAACCTTCTGCCTAGATTTTGAATTCCTTTTATTCCAAGAAAATGACTGACCTAATTTTATAATTAGTTATCAACTTTTATAAAAAATTCCCAATTTTTGTATTTTTTTATTCCATCAATTATCTATAGTTATCCTCTATCTCACTTCCTCCTAATTCTAACTAATCACACCAACTCCCTCCTGATCGCCATTATTCTCTCCACTGCATCCAAAATCTCATCTTAATTCATGCTTTTTTCTTAAACAGACCCAAAAAAAGCCTTAATTCTGCCTCTTTTTCCAATTATCTCTATATCAATTTCAAACTTAGCAAAATAAGTAATAGCAGACAGCTGTTATTTCCAATTCTTTACCTACTACTCTAAATGTTTAAAATATCTTCAAACCAATTTTCAGAAATTAATTTTTAAGTCATTACATACAAAATCCAGAGACCCCTTTTCCTTCCTGACCCAATCTATTCTGTTGTCCTTATATGAGATTATCTATGACCATTATAAATAAAGCAAACTACAAATCTAGAATAAGATATTCATTTTAAACGATTCTTCAAGGGAACTTCCCCATCAACCAACAATGCTTTCTCAGCTTCTCAAACTAGTATTCTACTACCCAATTTCATCAATACTCCCATAATTAAATCTTTTCCCTATAGTCTTCATGAGATTTTTTAGAAAAAGAAACACAAATGATCATCTAGTACAGAGCAATAGATTTAAATCACTCAGCTGGAAATATCAAAATCAAAATTAAAGTTTACCTTTGATTAGTCCGTCTGCCTTCTCATTGTTGTTTCCTTCAAGTTTCATAGAATCATCCTTAACACTACATTCCTGGGTGAAAAGGCACACATTTCTTACATAGCACTGCTGTTAATTTTAAGTGAATTCAAAATGCATCCTATATTACATAGTCCTACTTTACATAATAAAGACTAAACGAATTCCCTATACTGAAGTGGAGAGAGATGAATTAAAAGGAAAAATATATAAAATTTTTTTCATATGCAATTCAAAAAAGAAAGCCAGTCTTTATCTTTCCAAAAGGAAGGCAAAGAGTATACCTCAATTATAAGTGATATATGAGCTACTGTGAGAAACATATATGTAATTTACTTTAAAATTAGGACTTTTCAAAATCATGCTTAGTGAAATCAGCCAGAAAGAAAAGGAAAAATGCCGGATGGTTTCACTCATACCGGGAGTATAAAGGACAATAATAATAATAATGATGAACAACTATATGCCAGAGACATATTAAGGGAGGTAGAATGGGGGAATGGGATCAAAAACAGTTGGTGGAGGGAAATGCACTGGACTATGGTGATGGCACAGGGTGATTTGGTGATGGGAAGCCCACAGGGATTACAACTGAGATGGAAAAAGGCAGAAAAATGATATATAAAAATAAACTATTGTATTATTTAAAAAATAAATTAAGACTTTTCAAATTATAAACTTTCAAAACAAGAGTCCCTACTCAGTAAATAACAGACTGTTAGTGAAGGCGCTATTTTCATCCTATTCTCTAGAAAACCCAGGTTAGGTAGATGCAGTAGCAGTGGATCTAGAAAGTCACCTCTCCTTATCAGGGATTTTCTTGCCAACCCTGACTTTTTTTCCTTTCCCTTCGTGTAACCCCTCCACCTTTGTTTCAAATATTCAGTATACCTGAGAGTACAAAAAGTCCTCTGAAAGAAAAATTTGTATTTCTTCATTAAAATATTTTTAATTGAGTCAAGCAGGGAATGACTTCTTCAATCTTATTTTTAATTTATTGCTTGTCTTGCTTCTTTAGATAGGAGCAACAAATTAAATTGGGTTTGATTGCACTAATTCTTCAGTTTAAAAAGAAAAACAGGTGACATCACATTATAAATCAAAATCTCAAAGTGGAGATTAAGGTTGGTGTGTCAGAAATACAAAGCAATTTCAATTGAGAATTATGGCTAATAAAGAAGATGTGATTCTAGTTTTTAAAAGAATTTTAAGCATCTTATAAGAAAGATCCCATTACATTTCAGTAAAAATTTGGTTGGAAAAAAATACCCTATTCAACCGATATAAGCTCTATTATATGTTAAAAATACAAAAATGTAACCTTATTAGGGACATGAAATCACAAGTTATTGAGGACAATGAGCTTTTTAAACCATGAGCTCCAAAAAACACTAGTTAAAAATACTTTTAATAGGGCCCTCCCTGGTGGCGCAGTGGTTTTAAAGCACAGCACTGAGAAGCTAAAGCCGCTTCCGCATGAGTTCGATCCCTGCCTGCCCCGGAGGTGACCACATGGCGTGGCAGACCTCTCCTGACCCGCCCGCTGCTCCCCTCAGCAGTGTACTTCATTGATCTGCCTGTTCTGCTCCCCATTCTGTCTCTGGTGAATCCTCTCGCCACCCCTGAGCCTCTGGCCTGTACCCTAGTTCTGTATGCACAAATAAATAAATCTTTAAAAAAAAAAAAATACTTTTCATCGAACATTCTTCTAAATCTCCTTCAGTAATTAGTACATTATCTAAATGTTTACGTACACATGGTAACTTTTACAATATTTTTTATATAAAAAGGTTTTCCTCAGTGAGATCTTCAGAGTTCAACAAACTTTCAACCAAATACAACCTAACAATCTAATGTAATTTAAATGAATGACATTCCAACTTTTTAAGTTTGAATGGCAATTGCTCTGAAATGGTGAGATCTGTTATAGTAAAATCTTACCTCAAAATCACATTTTCAGCCTCAACTTCAATTAACATAGCAAGCTAAATATTACACATTCCTATGGACAGCACCTTAAAATACCTGGCTAATCTTGGAAATAGAAAAAGAAAGGCTTTCAACTGATAATTGACACAGAAGCTACTGGATAGTACTAGGTTCCATTACAACAGGCTGTAAAACATTGGACTATTTAGAGTAGTGAACTGAACCTCAGATGCTAATAGTTAAACTCCCAATAAAAAGACAAATGAGGACCCTCCCTGGTGGCGCAGTGGGTTAAAGCACAGCACTAAGAAGCTAAAGCCACTTCCGCATGAGTTCAATCCCCGCCTGCCCCGAGGAGATCCACATGGCACGGCAGACCTCTCCTGACCCGCCTGCTGCTCCCCTCAGCAGTGTACTTCACTGATCTGCCTGTTCTGCTCCCCACTCTGTCTCTGGTGAATCCTCTCACCCTCCGTATCTCTGGCCTGTACCCCAGTTCTGTATGAATAAATAAATCTTTAAAAAAAAAAAAAAAAGAGAAATGAATGCAACTAGTTGCATTTTCAAAAAGCAGTGGCAGAAAATTGATGGACAGCCTCTATAAACTATAAAGCTACAATAGTAGTTGAGTTCAAAAGATAATTTATATATACCTTTCCCTTCGTTTTTTCAATGCATGCAGAACTGGGGTAAAGAAGAGGTGCAGGGGTGGTGAAAGGATTCACCAGAGACAGTAAGGGGAGAAGAACAGGGTGACTGATGAAGTACACTGCTGAGGGTAGCAGTGGGCCCATCAGGAGAGGTCTGCCATGCCATGTGGATTGAACTTGTACTGAAGGGTCTACAGCTCACTTGCAGTGTTGAAGTTTAACCCACTGTGCCACCAGGGAGGACCAGATTGTTCAATTCTAGTAACACTTATTTTCCCCACTAAATGACTTAACTTTAATTCTTAAAAGCTAAATATTACACACATATATGTGTGTGTATGTACATTAAATATCAAGAAATATATTAAATAGCAAGAAAAGTTACTCATATTCTCATCATTAGGACATAATTATTACTAGTAACATTCTGGCACAGAGTTTAACTACACTAAAATACACAAAATGAAAAAATGTTTACTTGGCCTTTTTAAAACAAAAAATATGAACGTATTCCTCAGAAATAGGATTTTCTAGTTGCATATTCAATTTTATGGCTATATCATGTAAGTGTTAGCTTATGAGAGGCTCCAAACTTCCTACCTTTACAATGCTAGGAAAAAACGTTTTGGACTTAAATCTTTAGGAAACAAAGCATTTCTGAGCCCTCCCTAGTGGAACAAGGGGTTGAGGTGCATGAGGTGCAAAACTGTGGGACTATTCACAGCCCCTGCAGTGTGGGTTCAGTTCCTGGCCAGCAAGTTGGCCCACATGGCATGGCAGACCTCTCCTGGCCTGCCTTTGCTCCCTCCCTTCATCAGTGTGTTTCGGTGGATCTGCTGTTCTGCTCTCCACTCTGTCTCTGGTGAATCCTCTTGCCCCTGCACCTCTGGTCTGTACCCTGCATCTTATATGCATAAATACTTTTTTTAAGCATTTCTGAAAACTTCCTTACATAATTCTTTGAAATGGCATTACCGAATCAAAGATTTTAAGGCTTTTGATAGACATTACCAAACTGCCCTCAAGAATGTAGTAACAAGAGCATATAAAGACCATTAAACACATCTCTATAAATACTGGGTATCACCAATTTTTTGCCAATAACTTCTTAATGACAAAAAGACTTTAAATAAACCAGAGACCAGAGTAAATACACTTAATACTTTACCTTCTTTGGTTGATTCTTTTTAATTCTTTCAACAGGAAGTGGTTTGTCATCGTGAAAGTTTGTAAGAATTACTGCAATGGCTGTAAGAGTTTTGCCCTTTAAAATGTTTTAAAAAAAAAAAAAAGATAAATGGGATAAATGGTTAAGTTTTGTTGTTGTTGTTTTTACCTAGTTGACTAGATGACATCCCAAAACAAAGCAATCAAGTACTTTAAAATCAAGTAATCAAATATCAAATGGCACTCAAGGGCACAAAAGTAAACTACTACATTAGTTAATACAAGTAAGCAAAAAATTAAACAGTATTTCATTGATTCAGGCAGAAAAAGCTTCCCTGTACTACACTGCTAAAAATCACTATCAAAAAGCAGTAATAAGCATCTTTATTAATTTTATTGAATTATTATAAGATTTTACATAGATGGACTCTTACTAAATTTTACATTTTACTAATAATTTTACCATTATAGTACAACCATCTGCTTACAAACTTTAAATGATTCTAGTATCTATATGAGATAATTTTATTAAATCTTACAAGAAAACGCCAAGACTAAAACACTAATTTAACTTACCAAGAAAACACCAGGGACACTGTCCTGTTTTTCTCAAATGGAAACGTGTAATTTGTCACAATTTTCCTTAATTAGCAGTACAGAAATAAATCTTTAGCAATTTTAAAGCAGGGTAACCACAGATGGTAGGGATCTCCAGGATCCTTCAATCATATACTCAAGCAAAATTTTCATAATTCTATTAAGATTTAATTCAAGTTACTATCTGTAGAAAAGTCACAAAAAGCAGTGACAGGTGAAACTGCTGGTGCTTCAGCATGAGACAAAGTAGTTGGCACTATTGGGCTGTCATAATTCTCACCTACCCTACATACTATTCATTGAAAAAAAAATTTTAAAAACCACTTTCATTTTAAGCATGTTCTTTAAGAATGTTCTTGATGTAGGTAGGGTTCCTTTCAAATTAGTGTTTGTATCTTTTGAGTAGACTTCTACAAGTGGTATCACTGAGCATATGGTAGATCTAGTATTTTGTGGGACCTCCACACAGCTTTCTATAGTGCTTTGACCACTCTGCATCCCCACCAACAGTGTAGAAGGCTCCTTTTTCTCCAAATCCTTGCCAGCATTTGTTATTGCCAGTTTTTTAAATACAAGTCATTTTCACTGGTATGAGGTAGTATTCATGGTGGTTTTGATTTGCATTTCCCTGATGTTAAATGATACCATGTTCCCATGTTTATTGCAGCACTATAATACAATAGCCAAGATGTAGAAAACAACCCAAATACTCCAAAACAGACAAATGGATCAAGAAGATACGCTATATATACACGTTGAAATACTATTCCATGATCAAAAGGATAAACTCTTGTCATTTGCAGCAACATGGATGTAGTTGGAAGGGATTATGCTCAGTAAAATAAGTCAGAAAGAAAACAAGTATCAGATGGCCTATACCCCAGTTCTTGAATGTATGAATAAAACCTTTTTTTTAAAAAGTATAAATCTAAACATATATTCTCTAAAGATACCAGGTGGCTAACAAATACCTATTGCCTGGTGGCGCAATAGGTAAGGACGCAGCACTGCAAGCTAGCCACAGCAGCTTCAGCCCCGGCTAGGCTAGGGAGGTGACCCATATGCTGCAACAGGCCTCTCCTGACTCGCCCACTACTCCCCTCAGCAGTGTGCCTCATTGCTCTGCCTGTTCTGCTCCCTACTCTGTCTCTGGTGAAGCCTCTCACTGCCCCTTCACCTCTGGCCTGTACACCAGCTCTGTATGAATAAATCTTTAAAAAAAAAAAGTTCACAATCACTAATTAAGAAGAACGTAAATCAAAACCACAATATGAAAAAATTACTCATAAGTTAGAATAAGTATTTTAAAAAAAAGTGTTAAACAGAATATGGAAAAAGGGTAATAATTGTGCAGCACTCCTAGTGGAAATGTATATTGGTGCAATCACTCTAGGAAGTAGTAGAGCTCTTCCCCCAAAATAACAATTACAACTATGTATAGTGCAGCAATCCCAATTCCAAAGAAAACAAAGAAGCTAATGCAAAAAGGTATGGACTCAATTTCATTGTAGGATGCTTATAGCCAAGTAGGGAATAACATATCTGTCCAAGAACAGAAGAAAGGATACACACATAATGGAATACTATTCTATCATAAAAAAGAATGATTTTTTTGCCATTTATGACAACATGAAAGAACCGTCAAGAGTATTATGTTGAGTAAACTAAGTCACGAGAAAGACAAATACTGTATGATCTTATACGTGATATCAAAAGCAACAACAAAAAAACAAGCTCATAGATACATACAGGTTAGTGGTGGTAAGAGGAAGGGGATAGGTAGTAGTCTAAATGCATTAAGGTCAAAATGTACAAATGTCCAGTTATAAAATAAGTCACTGGTTATGGAAGGTATGCACTATGACTACCATGATCACGAAAGATAAGCTACACTGAATTAAAAGAGAATTGAGAAAATTTTGTTAAAATCAAACACTAATTCTTTTAACTGTACCTAAAATAAACTAAAAGCAAAAAATCTAGTCCCAACCTGGTACCAACATACCCTTGCTCTGTCTACTTCAAAATTACTTCCTATAAAAATCATAATCAAAGTAAAACACAAGAAATAATTACCAAACCCATATCATCAGCTAGAATTCCTCCATGGACATTTTCTGGTCGATCCTTTTCAGAAAAATTTGTTATTGTGTTATAGTATAAGTCATTTCGCTGTTCCCAAAATGGTGGAAGTTCTTTACTGTTTTCCCGTGAAACCATCCAAGCTAGAGCTTGTTTTTGATGTGGAAGTAATGGCGTTTCAATAGCCTATAAATAAAAGAACGTTATAAAAAGAAATACTATAAACTCTTTTTCAAGAAGTAACATGAAAAAGTTATCTTGTGATTAAATAATGTATAGATTAACAACATTTTAAAATTCAAGTAGTTTTAAATAGAAAATCTGGTTCAGTACCTCAGCTGGTTCCATTTCATGAGTTTTGTCATCTTCTTTTAAATCTTCAAACAGCTTATCAAATTCTGTCTTAAGCTATAACAAATAGCCCAGGAAACATAAAAGAAACCAATTAAAATAATATATACTCTTAATTCAGGCATTTTAATTAATTTTATTTAACAAAAGTCAGATACCATAAGGTACATAAATTCTCTGAATTACTACACTGCTCATTTGAGTTAAAATGAATAGGTATTTTAGGACTAGCTATGGAGTCCTAAAATGTAGTAGAGACTATAGAATGGAGAGTTGTTAAGTCTTGGGATTCAGTCATAAACCTGTATGCAAGTTAAGCTCAAACAATCATTTTAAGACTTTTTACCTTATTCCTGTAAAACTAAAGAGATAAACTCAATTTAGACTATCCATAACTCCTTTTTCCATTAAAATTCTGTGATTCTATTAGTTGTATTGAAACTATTTTCAAAGATCATACCAGGTATATTTGACATTTTTCCAAGTCAGTGACTTTTCACTTACTATTAATTGTTTATTATTACTGCAGTAGAGAATATCTGATAGAAAATATTAATTTTCAGTATCATAACTTCATTCTCTAAATTGACCTAATCCAATTACAACATGTTATTTTATGACTCATAAAAGCAACATGTTATAACTACTTTGTAAATTAGCATATGAATATACATATGAATATAAAGCAATAGCCCAGCAGAGATCAACCCAAACCTATAAAGTTAAGAGAAGCAGCTTAGGATTTGCCTACAAAAAAATAAGCTCATGTTCTTATGACAATAATCAAGAAATAAAGAGTTCAAGTTCTGACAATGATCAGGAAAACAGAGCAACAATAATAAGAACTAAATAAAGGGCTAAAACAGAGGTGCACAGATAAAAAATTTGATGTAATTTATAAATTCCATTCATTAATTTCACACTCCCATTTTTAACTAATTTCAGCACAACAATATCCCAGATTACAAATCAGACAATGAACTATAGTAGTGCTAAGGTTTTTAGTTCAACCTCATAAATAAGTTTCAAGTTTCAATTTTTTTTAAATATTTAGACATAAAAAAAAATTCAAACAATAGCTAAAACATTTCATATGCGATCATAAATCTTTTAATATCTATATGGATGTGCACTACATGGATATGTTCATCAATGCTTCCATCTTACGGAAGTATTTGCAATGTACGTCCTATTTACTATACATATTTCGTAACTTAATGTATTTTAAAATCATTGATACTAGCTCTCACATAATTATTTTATTCTTTGAACACCAAATTCTACATTTAAGATTCACTTTGCAGTTAAAATAAATAAGGGCCCTCTCTGGTGGTGCAGTAGGTTAAAGCACTGCACTAAGAAGCTAAAGCCACGTCAGCATGAGTTCGATCCCGCCCCGGAAATAATCCACATGGCACAGCAGACCTCTCCTGACCCATCCACCACTCCCCTCAGCAGTGTACTTCCTCAGTCAGCCTGTTCTGTTTCCCACTCTGTCTCTGGTGAATCCTCTCACTGCCCCTGCACCTCTGGCCTATATCCCAGTTCTGTATACATAATTTTTTTTTAAAAAAGAAAGAAAGAAGTGTACCTGTTCAGCTGTCATCTGTACCGCAGCATGAACTGGCACACTATAGCTTGGTCCAGCTCTTCCAGAGCCCCAACCACTTTCCAAACTGAATCCCAAAGCTATAAATTACAAAATGAAATAAACAAAATCATCAAATGAGGTATCTTTTACAAGGTAGTTTTTAAAAACATGTATAAGAGGGCCTCCCTGGTGGCGCAGCGGGTTACAGCACTGCACTAAGAAGCTTAAGCCACTTCCGCATGAGTTTGATCCCTGCTTGCCCCGGAGGAGATCCACATGGCGTGGCAGACCTCTCCTGGCCCGCCCACTGCTCCCCTCAGCAGTGTACTTCGTCCATTGCCTGTTCTGCTCCCCACTCTGTCCCTGGTGAATCCTCTCACCCTCCGCATCTCTGGCCTGCACCCCAGTTCTGTATGAATAAATAAATCTTTAAAAACAAAAAACAACATATATAAGATACATTTAAAAACTGCCTTAGTTCTAAATCACTAAAAAAGTACATTAAAATAATTCTATATTATTTGAACAAATGCATAACAAACCAATAGTATTTTTTACTCTCTTGGGAGTTTTTTTTAATAACTTATTAAAGTGAATATTTAAAATCAAGAATTTCCAGATACTACCTACCACTGAGGGAAAAGAAAGGAAATTCAGAGCCTTCTTAGACACGTGTGTCCACACCCATAATCAGAAAATATTTTATGAATCTATAAAGCTATTCCAAAATAAAGAGGAAGTAAATTACGTAAGCCAACCAAACTGAAAGTATTACGTAAAAGAATAAAGGTTTTATAATTCCTGCATCTTCCAATAACAAAACAATAGTAAGTTAAACACTAATCTTACTTTTTACAATAGTAAGTTAAACACTAAACTTACTTTTTGGTGCAGGACCCAATTTAAATCCATGTTTCTTCAACTGATCTACAACTGCTTTTCTGTTTTCTTCCTTCCCCCAAAAAGTCATATGCAGAGGCATGGTAAAAGCATTGTTTGCACCACAAGGAACTACCCTATTGTATTTAAAGAGGAAAAAAATAAAAGGAAAGTTAAAAGGGCTGTTGTTAATCTAGCAAACATTCTAGGTCACATTCGAATTTTGTATGGAAACAAAATAGGAACAATTTGTGCATACTAGAAGGAAAAAGGAGAGGGACCAATAACAACAATCAAAAGAAAAGGAGACTTGGCTAAAGAGAATGACACAAGAAACTGAGAAAACTGAAGAAAACAGAAAGCAGTGCTTAAATATAATGATATCTTACAACCAAGACTGTAAAGTAAAATAAGCTTGTAGATTTAAGTTGGTAGAGTTTCACTAATAAGAATCAGTGAAAACTTGAACTCAACAAGATAAAGAAAATATACAATGCTGAATGAGCATTTATCTTCCAAATCATCCTTTCATATCCTAAACATTTCACACTTAAATTGCAATCACAAACATAATGCCTGAAGAGAAAAAGAAAACAGAAGAGAAGGTAGACTGGCACTGCGTATGTTGGTAATATCGGATCATTTAGTTCTAGCCTGCATCACCACATCTTCACTGTCAAGATATTTTTCCATTAATTTTTATTATATTTAGGGAATAAATTTATGTGTATAAAATAGAGGACATTCAGATATAGGAAGTAAGTGAAGAGATTCTAAACATTGTGCAGACAAAAATGAAACTCATCTATATTTGGTCACAGGCTAGATTTCCACCTCTGATTTAAACACTTCCAAACTATTAGCTCTGTGCATGAAAAGGCTTGGTGAGATAGTGTGGTGTTCCTAATATTTGAAGTAAAGTCTGCTTATTTATTGGGCAACTATTCAATAGAAAAATGGGGAGTAGTTGTTTAACACATTCAAAGATCACAACTCACAATCATTAAAATTAAACTCAAAAAATACATTACCCTTCAATTTGTGCCAATTTGTTGTCCATGACATAGGCTAAAGCAGCTGCAAGATCTTTCTTTAAATGGCCAACCTGATCTCCATTCACATTGTTTACTTTAATTGCATTCTTATCATAGGGATTACTGGGCTCTCTTTGCAATGCAACCATTTCATTATTATTAACCTAATAAAATAATGAAGCAATATTATACATCATAAACACAAATAGCTGTATTCATTATACTTTATCTAGACTTTCCATTTGTTTTTAAGTGCTTACTAATGATTTTTTTCCTTGAACTCATATAGAAATATTAAAAAATATATTTCAGGCCCTCCCTGGTGGCGCAGCGGGTTAAAACACAGCATTAAGAAGCTGAAACCACTTCCGCATGAGTTCGATTCCTGCCTGCCCCGGAGGTGACCACATGGTGTGGCAGACCTCTCCTGACCCGCCCACTGCTCCCCTCAGCAGTGTACCTCACCGATCTGCCTGTCCTGCTCCCCACTCTGTCTCTGATGAAGTCTTTCACCACCCCTGAGTCTCTGGCCTGTACTCCAGTTCTGTATGCACAAGTAAATCTTTAAAAAATATATATATATATTTCATAATTCTTTTGTTAGTTATTAGATTCAGTCTAAAATTTTCAGCATCATAATTTCTGAAAATAGGTAATCTTCCTAAGAGTTTATCATGCAAAAACATTCAAGTATACAAAGTCCTTTTGAATGTTAATATGTTCTTGGAAAGTGTGATTTTAAATAAAATGAAAGCAAATCTGTTAGTTCAATCAGGGATTATTTCTCAATATTATAATCAAATGACACTAAATGATGCTCAAGGATCTGCTAACCTTTATATAAATTGATTCACATGCCTACAGGTAGGTTCATTATCCCCATTTTATAAATGAAGACACTAAAGCACAGAAAAGCCAAACTTTAACTTGCCCAAGGACACAAAGGTATTAAGTACTAGAGGTACAATATGAATTCAGGCAGGCCAGTTCCTACACTTGAATTCTCCAGACTCTAAAAGCGGAAAACAGTATTAATTATCAACAGGATGGAACCGGAATAAAAAAATATATACATCCAACCTTCAACTCATGCCACTCTGACTCCATCCAATTAAAAATCACCTGAGGATGAATTGCAAATAGAAGAATTAAGACTTCTAAAAATTCTCTCCATAAAAGCGATGAAAAAACTAATGAAAATTGTCAGAATCAACTTTTTCAGTACTTTGCAAACAATGGATTGCAGAAAGCAGGAACTATTAATTCAAGGAAAAAAAGCTGAATTAATCAATACCCTAGTTCCATCACTGGCTTTCAGTGCGCCCGACAGATTCATTCTCAAACAACCGTCATTATTTCGTTCGTTATGATAGTTCCCTATCATAGGGAAGGCCCACTTGTAAGTTTGCATCTAGTGACCTCTTGAGCTCACTCAGTACAAAAAGTTTTCTCCCTTGGGTGGGTAGGTTTCAAAAACAATCTTATAGGCAGAGGGTAATGACTGGGAGAAACAAATAATCAAAAGGTTTAAGATGGAATAAAAGGAGTGAGATGTTCATGTATGGTTTCTAAGCTCTATTGAAATTCCTAAAAATCTAGGTCATATGGGAGAATAGGATTGGATGCATGCCAAAGGCAGTACCTATGCTCAGGGAAAGACCTGAGAAAGCCCTAAACCATCACCTCTGGTTGAAAGGGAGATACTAAATGAGCAGAAAGTGAAAAGCTAAGAGAGCTGTCAACTGCTGGTGAGTGTTGAAGTAATGCCTCCAATACATTGCTGGGCTAAAACTGAGGAGATTTATTGGTTCCAATACAATCACCAGCTAGTCAAGCAGACATCAGTGGCCACTCACAGCAAAATATATATATATATATATATATATACACACACACATATATATATACACACACACACACACACACACACACATATATATCATTTTACACAGTAAAATCAGGTAAGCTGTAAAACATTACCAAAATCAGCAACAACAAACAATCCTGAAGAGGTGGGAGAATCTAAATTCTAGAGCTGCTATATTATTTTAAAATGTCCACTTTTTAACAAAAACAAACAAAAAAAGAGGCATGCAAACAAAGAAGCTACCAGTTCACACAAAAGAAAGTAAAGTGTGGAATATGATCAAGTAAGTTATTGTTCTGGGTGGTAGAGTTAGATACAGTTAATGCTTTTCCCTTTAGCATTTAAAGTAATAAAATATTGTTTTAAAAATACACATTTTGAAAAATAAAAATATTAAATGATTACTTTTAATTAGCCCACCACATTTTTTTATTGCTTTATCAGTGTCATAAGAATTATTCTAAGGTCAACAAATGGTTACTGTTCTAGGATTAGTAACAACCATAATCAATTATTTTAAGTAGGCTTAAAATAATTTAGGAAACAATCTTAAGTTTTCAAACGCACAAATCAGAAATAGGAAAGCTCAGAAATACATATGAGAACTAAGAACAGATGGATATAAGAACTGAGGTTTCAAGAAAAATTAAGCCAATCATTTTAGAATCAAAGATTGAAATAGAACACAGAAACATGGCAAGGAAATAAATCAAACACTGAAAAATGAAAAAGTACTATTAAAAAGGACATCCGTGGAAGTAATAAGCATCTATATAAGCAATATCCATATGAAGAACATACCTAATAAAATGAAAAGTAGAATAGAGTCCCTAAAGAAGACCACATTTTGGAGGAAAAATATACATTTGAAACTATAATTAAAGATTTTCTAAAATGGAAGGAAATTAATTTATACAACAGTTAACATTAAGCATACACTAATGAAACTTAAGACATACCCTACTGGAAAGATAAGAAAAATTATCCCTAGGCTATGCAGGCAAAAAAAATTTCCAATTTCATTTATTCTGAGAGAGATACTTGCATCAGAATTCTCACCAGCAACAATTTTATGCAACAGCACAGATCTCATGGAGAGAAAATATGAGTCAAGGACTTTATAATCAGCCAGACTGCCCTTCAATTATAAACACAATTACAAACACAAAAACAAGAAATACTGTTCCTTCCTAAGGAAAACACATTTTAAACAATCACAGAATGAGCTCAGAGGTTCCAATATGAAGAAAACATGGAAAAATGCAAAGTTATATAATTCTAGAGCATGCACTTCTTTCCCAAAGACACTCACAAAACACACTCAGATAACCACAAAATGTGAGAATCTTCAACTTAATATAATATGGGAGAACTGACAAGTTCAGAACTTTCCTCAGAAAAACAGATGTAATTTCTGCAACAAATCAAAGCCCAGAAACAAAAAGGAAGGGAAGGAATAACAAACTATAATCCCAAAGATAATATAAAAACTTTGTTTTGATCATGATTTTTAAAAAGTGAACTATAAAGACATTTTTAAATAATCAAGAAAACTATACTTTAGTAGATCATTCATTTTAAGTATAAAAATACTGAAGAAAATGTCTGAGTTTGGGGGGATATATATCCTAAATTATATGGATAAAAACAGTTTTTGGAACATAAAGACAACATAAAAAGTGATGAAGCAAAGTGTAAAAAAATCATTAAATTCAGAGGAGTTTTATTATATGGCAGTTTATTGCATTGCTCTAATTTACACACTTTTGAAGTTTTTCAAAATTTTAAAAAACTAAACTAGAGGTACATCACTCAGATAACCCAGAAGCAAACTACACAACTGTAATAAAAACAAGTGAGCAAGAGTCATATTTTTTCTCTCTCATACACAGAGGATAAGAACGAGGAAGAAAATTTGGCAAACTATCTCACAACAGAGAGAAAAAGTGAACCAGAAGTAGGAGATAATGGTTCTAAACTAAAATTACTTAAGTACAGAAATGTGCTGAAGGGCATAATAGGAAAAGCAAAGAATTTAAGTCATTTTGTAAATGAACGAACAGCTCATCTGGACAAGTCATATAACCCTCCTGAATTTCAGCTCTTCAGTTACAGAAAGGGGATAATAGATGTCTATCTACTACAGAGTCAAATTAGACTTAGCATGGGAAAATGCTTTGAACATGGTCAACATGCTATAAACATAAAGGTAAAGTAATTCAGGTGCTTGCTATTTTTTGCCTTGATATATTTCAGCTACTTATAGTAAAATAAATATTAACTGCACATTATCACCTAGTTTTTATTTTCCAGGATTATACAAAAAAAAATCTCATTTTAACTTATCTAATGTTACACTTACAACTCCTGTGTAATAGCGTAGTCCAACCACATGACCTCTTAAAGTTCCAAATAAAACTGAATCTAGCTCTTCATCACTTGTTAGGAAGTCATCTGGAGGAATAATATCTTGGAATTCAAAACGGGGAAAGAAAGTTGGATATGAGAGGCGTGGAAAACTTCCATGGACTCCATATTGGACAGTCTGCAAGTACTTCCAAACAGGATCTCTACTTAAAAAAAAAAAAAAAGTGCATAAAAAAATACAGCTATACATAAATGGGACAACATGATATGTAATTTAAACTTTTATGGAACCATTAATTCACTCAATTTTACATTTCTAATATGTGGCATACCATTGCATTCCCACGAAAAACAAAAATATTTGACCAAGTATTTCTCTACTACTATACCATGTTTACAGGCCAATTTCCTTCTCTCACTTTATTTGAACAAAAACTCCTATGTGAAAATAGTCATGAACATATATTGTAATTACGCTAATTGAGGTGGGGATTAGAGCGAGTGGCAGAATTTCCATGAACCCTACCTGTTCCCCAACGCCTCTCTCACCTAAGGGTAGCAGGAATGAAACCCCACGTTAAGTGCTTGCGAATCTATTTCCTACAGCTAAACGAAATGGACAGTGACGCCTGTAACCATAGGTCAAGTGCTCAACAGAATGCGCTAAGAGACTTAGAAATACAGAAATAGCATTATGCATAGAAGTTTCTATCTTTGCAAATGATACATCCAATACCCGCGACGTTAATTTCCTCGTAACAAAAAACCCTTTCTAGGTTACTGAGGCCGTACCATCCAGGAAAGCTGACCTGACGCCTCCCACTCCGGCTGGCGGAACGGTAACCTCAACCCCTAGTGGGTAACTTTCAGAAAATCCGCGTATACACTCATAAGGACAATGAAGAGTGAGCGACAGTCTCTGGGGGGCTTCCAGAAATTTCCCGTCCTCCTTAGAACCGAGAACCGCTATTTCCCCAGCGCTTTTCTTAAAAATCGCTCACACATCTTTGGCTTCTTTGCAAATTACCTACTTGTACATCTATACATGCACACAAATTGTGAGCTACTAGGGGACAAGGGCTGTCTACTCGGTCCTTTATCCGAGCACAATGCCAAGTAGCGAAGGGCGTCCTGTTGAGGAAACAAACAGGTCCAGATGCAGGCTAGAGTGGAGCTTGAGAGCCTCAGGTTCCTCCGGCCGTGACAGACAGTTCCCAAGGCCCTAGTACGACACTCTCCGGAGGAGCGTCCCTTCGTCAGCCAAGACTATGCACTTACTTCTACCGCAAACACACGAGCCACCGAAGGGACGAATATAAGCTGCACTAATTGCACGGTGAATAAGAAGTGCACGCGGGGAAGGTCAGGTTCACTAGGGGCCGTCGCCAGGCCGTTACCCCTTACGCCCCACCCCCTCCACCACCTTCACCTCTTGAACATCCAAGACATGGCGCTGAGTGGAGTGATGAGGCAAACGCTTAGGCTTCCCGAATCGTTCTCGGGCCGCGCCAAGGTGCCTTCTTCCAGTCCCTGCAGCAGAGAAGCCGAGGACAGGTTCGGAAGAGCGGAGCACCGGCGCCTCGCCGGAAGGTAAGACGCCGCGAGTTTAGTCAGACGTCGACGCGGTCTCCTTCGAGCAACAATATGCGAGGCCAGTGACGTTATATGACTGACAGTAAAAACGCCCAATCGTGAAGCTAGATTTACGGAGACAAACCAATCATAACACGGAAGGGAGGGCAACTCCGCCCCGCGCTGCGATTCAAAGACCGTGGGGGGTGGTGTCCCGGCGGCAAGGGCGGTTCCATCCGGGTTCTTCCCCGCCCCCTAGATGGGCGCGCGGGAAAGCCACGCGGCCCCACGAGCGGGCTGCTGGCCTGCGGTGTCAGCCTTTTTTTTTTTTTAATGCCCTGCCTCAAACAGAGGGAGAAGTCTCTCCTTTACACATTTCCCTTCAAGTTCTAAGCCATTTTTTAGACCTTAACTCATATTACCTCTGATTTTCTCCTTGTCTGGTGTCACATAAATAGGGTCTTCCAGTAAATAAACTGCGATTTACGAGTCCTGGAGATGTTTTACTTAATTCCTGTGGTGAACCCAGGGTAGTAGGTGCCCTCAAAATACTAATTTTAAGCCTCATTAGTAAGTCCATGAAATACTCGAAGTCCGACGAGTTTCGCCGGAACTCAGATTTATGGAGTCCTCCAACCCTATTTTCTATGAAAGAAGTTTTCCTTTCTTGAGAGAGGAAAGATGGAAGAGGGAACTGTATGGCAGAGGGAACTGTTGGCATCTTCCAGGGCAACTGCAGGCGCACGCTGGGGGAGGGAGAGGTCTCTGAACCTAGACTGCCCGGTGAAGCTGGGAAGACTTAGTTTTTTTCAGGAACTGTAGACGCTCGAGGGCTTTCCGGAATCTGAAAAGCTTCATAACTCAGTTTGGGGTTGGTTGATGAGAGGGTGGTTGCAGCTGAGGGGCTGGCATGGCGGGACCCTGTGCTTTGGGAGCTCATACCTTGCCTTAGAGCGGATCCAGCAGCCACCCGAGGTAAGAAGCTGGCGGTGGCTCTGAAAGGCACTTAAGGTCCAGGTGAAGAAATTTGCTTGATCCGAGAAGAAAATTACTTGAGCAAGTGGTCAGTATTGAACCTTGTCCTTCACAGTGCTCCATTTTACTCTTCCATTAGCCGAGTCTGAGAGGTGGTCAATGAAACCGTTTTTCAAGATAATTTTATTCATTGAACTTAGGATCTCTAAACATGAACAAAAAGTGAAATGAGAAATCGTATCTACAGCAACATATCAATTCATTTCGCTAAGCAGGAGGAAGATGACGACAGTGGTTTTCAAATTATTTGGTTTACTCAACTATTATGCTGTAAATGGCAATATAGACCAATTTTTCTTGTGCGGGTCTCAGTACTTGCAAAATGTGTCAGAAACTTCCCGGATTTAAAACTAGTGAAGTCATGGTCAACTAGACTTAAAGATAGAATTCCAAATATGAAAAAACAGCTGCACTTGACTCAACTTCAGATCCATGAATACCTGTCCCAAGTTAAAGATTATAAAGTTAAAAATTTGTCATTTAAAATCAACATGTTTATTATCCATGTTGTCATTTTACATTTCAGAACTAGAATGCTTTTGTTCAGTATTTTTAAAAATCAAGAGCAATTTGTACCAGTGTAAGATTAAACCGTGAAAACAGTTACAAATAAAGAACTATCCTTGAAAAATAAATACTTGTAACTAAAAAAGACTTGGAACTGTGGGGTGGCTTCTGTGTCAGCTGTGTCAAACTGATGTGGGGGAAGAGACTGGCACAAAGGGGATGGTGTGGAAGATAGTACCAGATTGCATAAAAATGTATGGACTATGGGAGAGTTTGTATTTTAAGTGTAACAGAAATTCATTGACTATTTTATTATTTTTTTAAAGATTGTTTTATTTATGCATGTAGAACTGGGGTACAGGCCAGAGGTGCAGGGGCTGTGAGAGGCTTCATCAGAGACAATGGGGAGCAGAACAGGCAGACTGATGAAGTATACTGCTGAGGGGAGCAAAACCTGAGAGGCAGGAATGGTCTGGGGCACCATGTGGATCACCTGGGGATGGGGGGTGGAGGAGGGAGGAGATAGAACTGAAGCAGCTGTGGCTAGCTTGCAGTGCTGCTTCCCAACCTTTTGCCACCAAGGAGGGCCTCGCTCAATATTTTAAACTGGAGACTGAAAAATCTGAATTAACCTTTAAAAAATTCACTCTGGCAGTGTTAGCAGGCAGAGGGGGTACCTTGAGACCCCCAAACTTGCATGCTCTAAAAGGACTCTGCCATCTACTACATACAGAAAAAGCATGCTCTTAGTGTGAAAGAACTTCAATAGGACTAGTGTGTTTAGAAAGAGAAGAATATTTCAAATAAAACACCAAAGTTATTAATTCCCCTTGTGGGTAAATGCCCAGCCAAACAGGATTGTCTCAAAGCAGGCCGCTGAGGCCCAAAAGGTTGCTACAGATCTAAGGCACCTTCTAACAGAGTACAATAGAAAGGGGTGAAAGGGACAGCAGGCCTGGGAAATAATCAAATAATAAGGAACAAAATCAAGATGTCATGTCCGCTGCCATTGTCAGTCTCCCCATGTCTCTCTCCCATGTGTGTCTTCCAAGTATTTCTACCTAGCTTGCCTTCACATATTTTTCCAATACCCCCTTTCTGGGGCAAGTCCAATGTGAACCCTCTCTTCAGTCTTCTCCTGTAGCTTTATCTAACCACTCAGCTTATTGATGGGACAGGAAATCTAGATCTCCCCTTTTTATGGAAATTCCTCTTACAGCAACTCTGTGGAAAAATGATGATAAAAAAAGAAAGAAAGGAAGGAAGGAAGAGAACAAAAACAAGACTTCTTGGTTGATAATTAAAAAAAAAATTATTGTGTCCTTGTAAGTGATACAAGTGGCTTGGAATGAAACAGTGATTAAGATTTGCACATAGGTTTTGATATGGGTGCTGAAGGAAGAGAAGGGGGTGACCCACATAGCGTAGCAGACCTCTCCTGACCCATCCTCTGTCCCCTTAGCAGTGTGCCTGTTCCACTCCCCACTGTCTCTGGGGAATTCTCTCTCTCTCTCTCTCTCTCTCTTTCTCTCTCTCTCTCTCTCTCTCACATACACACACAAACACCCCACTTCTGGCCTGTACCCCAGCTCTTGTATACATAAATAAATAAATCTTAAAAAAAAATTCCTCCAGCCACCGCCTTCCAGTCATGAGCAGTCTTTCTCATCCTCCTGCTTTAAGAAAATTAATCATGTTACTATTTGCTGTGAGCATGAAATCAAAGAACATTATTCTTTATGATCTGTTCTCTGTTTACAAAACCATTTTCTTGTCCAAGTGACTAGCTTCAATACAGTTACTTTTCAGTTTACATCATAATTTAGAGTCTGGAAGAATATATGGTGCTTTTTATATATAAGGTTTCTATGTTTTATATATAAATAAGGCTGTTTATATATAAGGGTCTGTTTGCTTTGTTCACCCAAAAGGAGAAAGAGGCAAAACCAACATGTTTATTATCCATGTTGTCATTGTTTTACATTTCATATTTACCTATCAATTGAACTGGAATGCTTTTGTTCAGTATTTTTAAAAAATCAAGTGCAGCATGTACCCGTGTAAGATTAAAACATGAGAACAGTTACAAATAAAGAACTATCATACCAGATAATTCTTCCTTGAAAAATAAATATTTGTTACTAAGAAGATTTGGAACTGCAGGGTGGCTTCTGTGTCAGCTGTGTCAGATTGAGGTGGGGGGTGGGCAGTGAGGGTGGGGGGGGAGAGACTGGCACAAAAGGGATGGGGAGGAAGATAGGGCCAGATTGCATAGAAAGTTTTCAAGACTGACAGAAGAGGGTTCACAGAGTAATTCTCTATATGGAATGCCATCACCCTCAATTAAGTGCACAAAGGAGGGATGACAAACAGCCTAGTAATGTTTCTGGAAATCCCATAAGAAAAGGAAACTGCCTTTGCCCTATAGAGAAACTTCAAGATTCTGCAAACCTTAGAAAAGCCTTAGAGACCAGACATGTGCCAAAGGCAGTAAAGGAGTAAGGGTTAGTGAGATGGCAGTTAGGGGCCGAAGGGCAGCCTTTCAACATCTTTATACCCCAATGAGTTTCCAGCACTATGAAGACTGGCGACTTTCAATACTCAGACATGGTTCTGGGAAGCAGAAGCAGGAAGCTGATGTCCAAAGATGGCAGTGAGACAAATTATATCCACAGTAGATGCCTGCAAGATTAATAGAATCCAAAAATATGTCCCTTAAGGATAAGAAAAGGGTACTGAATTTGCAAACTGAATTTAATTGATTTTAAATCTTAAAATGATTGAACTACCTGGGAGTAAATATGTTCAGTTACCTACTACTAGGTAAAGTGAAGTTTTAAGATAAATTAGTAAGTTTAATAAAGAAAGGTAAAGTTTTATTTAATAAGAAGTATAAAGATTTTTCTTTTGCAAACAATTACTGATTATAATGAGTACCTGCCATATTCATATACACACACCTCAATGAATTTATACCTAGATATTTATAACAGATACCTTTTGCTGGTTGAATTATGGAATTTCCATTTTTCATTTGTTTATATGTAAAATGTTTTCTATTTTAAATTGTATTGCTTTTGCTGTAAAATAATAATACATTCGTGGTAAGGAAATTATGAATTTTTTCAACTTTCTGTTTTTAATTTTAATTTATATAAAAATTATAAAATTAGTAGAAAAGTTCCTATCTTACTGCATTTATTTTTTATTATAATTGTTTATTTTTACCTCATTTTGTGCCTTTTTCAATCTCAACTGTAATCCCCATGGACTTCTTACCATTCCATCTGTGTGCCATCACCATAGTCCTGTGCCCTCTCCCCCATTTTTGATCCCATCCCCCACTCCACTCTTGTAAAATATCTCTGGTATATAGCTGTTCATTATTATTTTTTCCCCTAGTCTTTTATGCTTCTTCTATGAATGAAACCATCCAGTATTTTTCTTTTTCTTTCTGGCTTATTTCACTAAGCATGATCCCTTCCAGCTGCAAAAGGCATGTGTTTATCTTTTTTGATCACCGAGTAATATTCCATTGTGT